TTTCTTTTCTTTTCTTTTCTTTTCTTTTCTTTTCTTTTCTTTTCTTTCGCAAAGAGGGATAGTTATGTACTTTATCTTCAGGTTCTTAATTTTCAATTTCCTTCTGATATACAGAAGCCTCACCACAGGATCCCTTCATAATGTTTTGAATCGTACACATCCCATGCTCTCATTTCAGTGGACTTACACCTGAAATGACTCCAGTTGCTATGTTTTTACTCTACGCTAATTCCCTTCTCTTCCCTTCCTGAAACACAAACCCACCTTCTCCCTCTCCACACCCAAGATTTGCTTTCTGTACACTTAAATAAACTAAAGCCCACTGTTAACCCTTCAAAGTATATTACTGTCACAGCTTCATCCTCTGGATAAGGAATTTTATCAACTGAGAGTGATGGATCAATTAATGTACAAACATGATGCATCACTTACGGAAAGCATTTTGGAGTTTCATATTGCCATCCTACCCCTGAGAACCAGTTGGACTGTCTTTGTGCAGTTCTTCACCTATGCCTCCAGCAAAGCCAAAACAGGGAGATCTGAGTGAATACTATGTTTCACATGACTGAATTTAGAGAAGGGGAAAGAAAAAGAAAACAGATTAAAAATGAAATGAAATAAAATAAAATAAAATTAAAAAGCTAAACACAATCCTCATCCTTCAAATCTCCATCATGCCTTTTGACTTAATAGTAATTAATCACTACTGGCAAGAAAGTAATTTTTTTTCCAGGTAGCCAGAGGCACATTTTTATCAGGATTAGCTAATAAATCAGTGGCATTGCTAGAAAGGAGTTCAAACTCTTCTTGGATTTACTAAATAAAACCGATCTCTGAAGCGTCGGCAACTGAGTGTCTACTGAAGCTTCACTCAAAATCTAACCTACGGTATAACAATCAACATCATCATTTTTCATTCCAAAGTCCAAAACTTCTAGGGTGTTAAAAATGACTGTTTCTTTCAAGACAAACACACACATTTTGGTTTCACGGTGTAACAAGAAATCCCACCTGGAATTTTTCCTATTTTTCAGCTTTAAAACAGAAATGAAATGAAGTTAGTATCTTGTTTAGTTCAGGAATATGTGTTAAACATATCCAAGCAAGATAAATGATCCCTCTCTCTCTCTATCTCTCCCTCCCCCCTGCTTCCTGAGTTTGTCTTTATGAATACAGGCATACAGTAAAAGCAAAACTGAGCAACATTCCCATCTATGAAACAGAAATTAAAGTTACTGTTGGTTAATTGTATGTTTCAGGTAGAACAAAGCAAAATAATTAATTCTCATCAACAAATCAAAAAAACATCCCCATTAAAAAAAAAAAAAAAAAGAAAGAAAGAAAAACACCAAAACCTTTACCTAGATGTTATCTCAAACATTTCATCTATCTTATGCTGAGTGATTCTCTTCAGTGTAGCTTATACTGCTGTTATTTTTTATTTTACAGAAACCTTAGATAATTTTTGCAAACACATGCGTACACACGGGCTGACTGGCTACTCACTATACCTCATCTATTAGACAAAACCTCCCAGGACGTTTCCGACATTTCCTTCCCTATTCTTTGTACTATTATTTTAATGTTATTATTAATAACTATTCTAGAGTGGATGTCATGTTTAGAAGATGTCCATCAGACCTTGATGTGTCTTCTAGGCAGCTAGTCTGAAAGGAAAGCTAGGTTCAGAAGGGACAGACTGATCCTTGTAAATATGAAAAGGGTGTTTGGAGCAACCGGCAATACCCTATAACTTGTGCTGAGTCTCCAGTCCTCGAACCCTGAGTGTTTCTGTACCCTGTGTGACTCTGGTACTTTGAACTGACAGGGTATATTTTAATTTGCATTTTCTAAAGGTGGAGAGGAGGGGAGTCAGTGGGAAAGGGAAAGAAATGCCTCTTAAACATCCTGTTAAGTTTAAGATTTACAACTCACCATGGCAGCTGGAAAGCTGGGAAGCCACTAATGCCGTTCCCCGTAACTCTCCCTGCCAGGAATGAATCGGCTGGAGTAGAGGTTGCTATTGAACCTCTCTCATAACAGATACAACTTCCACTCGCCCCGTGTTTCCCTGCACAACCGTTTTTCCTCCTGCACTGTGTCTGGAGTCACACCCTGCTCACTTCTGATCTTTTTTTTTTTTTTTCTTTTTTATTCTTTCCCCCTAAATAGCTAGATATCTTATGAAATAAACACACACATACATGCACATACACACACACACATGCATTATATATGCAGATATGGAGATTAATAAAGTGGTTTGCTACATTCCCACTACTAAGCTATACTACCATGCAAATGATCTTTAACTTCCTCTATGTGAGTCCTACTTTCCCACCCAGTGATCTGAGCATCTTCGCCACTACACACTCCATCCCCCCATCCCAAAATGTAGCATCCTCTAATCTGAAATGCACCACTGGAGAGACTAAACAGGGAAAGGAGCAGGCAAAGCTGGAGAGAGCAAGGCACTGCATGGAGAGCATGTCCTTACTGTTTTGAAAGCAAACCCAAAAAGTTCCCGGGATGGACTTTGGGCACACTAGAGTAGTGTTAGTAATGTGCCTGCTCAGAGACTTCTCCGTTCTGGAACTGAACTGCAACCCATCCCTCCTGGCTTGCCCTCTCCAACACGTACTCACTTTGTGATTTTATACTTTCTTCCCTTTCAGAGATGTTTTTATTTTTATTTTTAAATTGTTTTTATATCTCTGTTCCTATGCTGAACAAAACCTAAATGAACACCCCCTGCACACCCCCGACAAATCACTCTCCTCTATCATCAGTTTCGGAGCAGACTACAAGTAAGAATCCTAACAGAGTTAAAAATGAAAAGGAAAAAAGTAAATAAATAAATAAATAAAAGAGAAGAAGAAAATGCAAAGGTGCCAGTGCCCGATACACAACAGTTGTAAAACAGGGGCTTCCCAGCTCCGCGGGAACACGCGGGCAGACAGACGGACACACACCCCTGAGTGGAAAATGTGCAGCTCCCAAAGATAAATAAAGAAATCCTCTTAATCTTTTTCAGCACCACTAGCGTGTGGACAGCTGCCTGCCAACACAGCCTCCCGTTCCGGCTCTTGCCTGGACTCTCCGGCTTTCGCAAGTGGCAGCATCTTGCCCCTCTAAACGGGGGAAAGACATGAAAATACTAAGAAACAAGGCAAAAGCAGCTGACCCCCTTCTCTGCTTCTCTCTCTTCTCTTTCTAGGAGGGTCTATTATTTCTTTCCCTGCCCCCCAAGCCTGCCGCCTCCGCCCCCGGCCAGCCAAAAATGAAATAAAATGAAATCGAAAGGAAAGAGAGATCCAGAGAGGGAGTGAGAACCTGCCTTCTTCTCCCGATCTCTCCCGGGAAAGTTCAGGAGGTAACTCACCTTTGTGCATGCCAGTGAACCTGTCCTTCAGCACCGTCAGTTCATAGATCTTCCCGAACTCCTCGAAGAGCGGTTTGAGGTCTTTCTCGTCCAGGTTACGGGGAATCTGCCCAATAAAGAGCTTAATGGCATCGTGGTCCTTCATTGGGATGGTGGATGGGTTTCCGGGACTATGGTTTAATCCGTTCATATGCCCGTTGGTGCTGGGGTTGCTGTGATTGCTACTCAGGCTGGTATTGTCTGGTTGTCCGTTTGCTAACGTGGCCATCTTTATATACATAGAGAAAATCTTCTTTCCTTTTTTTCCCCCTCTTCTTTTCTCTCTCCCTCTCTCTCTCTCTCTCTCTCTTCCTCTCTCTCCCTCTCTCTCGCTCTCCCTCTCCCTCTTTCACACACACACACACACACTCACACACACACACACTCCTCCCTCTCCGTCTCTCTCTCTCTCTGGGTCTGATCTGATTTTTTTTTTACATTGAAGATCTGTGTCCTTTCCGTTTAAACAGGCTGGATCGGTTCAAATTCCCAGCCAGACTAGGGGGTGGGGTGTGAGTGTGTGGATGTGTGTGTGTGCGGGGAAGGAAGGCTGGGGGTGGGGGACTGCTTTTGCCTCTACTCTGCCTAAACCCCCTCCTCCCATCCAACCAGCCCCCCCGTCTGTCTGCCTGGGAGAAGCTCAATGGTATCTTCCAACACAGCCCCCGGCTATAAATAGCACTAGGCGCATGGCTCTTTGAGAGACAGTCAATTTCTATTGTGCCAAGTGAGCAAAGGGGAACGGTTGCGTTTTTAGGACCAATGATGATGATTTTTTTTTCCTTTTCTTTTGCAAGTCCTCCGATCAATCGCTGTCGTTATAATTTCAGTGATCATCGGGAAATCTGCCTTTCATTTAAGAGGGAAAAAAAAACACAAACCCAAGGTGTTCTGACTTCTTCCTATTATGATGCTGTCTCTTATTTATTATTTACTCTTATTATGAATTTGCAGTTGATAATAAAAGCAGTTGAGATACGGACGAATCCTCAGTCTCAGAGGTTGCTTTTGCTATTGTTGTTGTGGTTGTGATGTTACAAGCTCTCTTTACTATATCTGTTCTTGTTGCATCTAAAAAAAAATGCATGCTCTTTATGCTCTTATTTTTAAAATTATACTGCCTATGATGACATCAGGCTAGGAAAGGCACAAACTGTATTGCTGTAGGTCTTGAGAGAGAGAGAAAAATAGCGAGATGACTATTAATTTTCATGCTGCCGATATTTATTTTACATACAGTCAGTGCGGGTGTTATCTCCTGTGTGTGTGTGCATGTGTGTATTGGAAAGGGATTGATTAGATAAGATTTTCTTGCCCGACTTTCAAGCCATCAGGATATTCTGTCTCTCTCTGATGGAAACATAAATCGTATTTTGTAGTCATCAGGGATCGGGAGTTGCTTGTCCGGACAATGCTCTCTAGACAAAGTGTACTGTATGGTGGAAATGAAATCAGCTCTCCTTTCTTAGCATCCAGGGGTGGGGAGGGCAGGGAGGCTCGGATTAAGGACACAACTCTCCCTTGTCTCCCAAATAATAATAACAATAATCCGGACGGTAACAAAACAAGGCACTGCGTGTGCTCAGAGCAATTTCCCTGCCTTTTTCTCCCCCCGGCTTTCCCGTGCGAGCCGGGCGGGGATGAAGCTCGGAGAAGAACCAGCAAGCGAGCCGGGAGCAGCCTGCGAGTTACCTGGCCTGAACCCCCCCAAGACCCGCGCTCCGGGTGCAGCTCCCCGGCGACAGGTTATTCCCACTACCGCCGCGCTGGTCGCAATCCCCCAGCCCCACGCCCGCCCCAGGCCGCCTTCAGGCACCACGGGGGCTCCGGGCCATTGTTCCTGGCGCCGCCGGCTGCTCCCCGCGGCAAAAGCGGTGGCGGCCCCTGGGGCCGAGCTGGGAGCAGGACCCCCCCGGCCGGCAGTCCCCCGAGAGCTCCGGGCAGGGCATCGGGAGCACGTGTGGCTGTAAAAGGAAGGGGCAGCCACGGAGGAGGGAGGTTATTAGTTACAATTCGCGGCGTTCGAGTTTTATTGACTGGAATTTATTTTTATTTTTGTTCAAAAATAATGAGTAGAAAAAAAAAAGAAAGAAAGAAAAAAAAGAACTGGGCAACGGTCTGTTTGTAGCAGCAGAGTCAGCTTTCACTTTATTTGAGTTTTGCTTTAATAATGGAGCAGCAACCTACTGTACTACTTCCGTG